TATTCATATTCTATAATTGTACACCAGAAAGGCTACATGGTCTTACCATTATTTTTTATTGAGTATCTGTATCTTCAGTAGATAGTATGATTTGATTTCCTTATTGAGGTAGGTCTTGCTACAGAGCCCAGTTTGTTGCTAAATCTGAAAGCTTCAGCCTCTTATGATCAGAGGCCTGTGCCACCATGCCAGTTTATTTTGTTTGCAAATCCACAAATAAAAAATGGAATTTTTGTATTAAATGCCATACCTTTGCTTTCTAGCAAAGTTATATTGAGTGGTATTTTGTTTGTTTGTTGTGTTGTTGGTTTTTGTTTTTGAAGTAGGGTCTCAATTTGTTACTTGTCTGCCTTAAAACTCCCAGAGATCTGCCTGCCCCTGCCTCCTGTGTTTGTATTTTACTTAGTGATGCATGTCTTCTTTTTTATCCTATTTTGACTTGTTTCACTTTTCCTTAATGACAATAAAATACCTTTGTAATGTGTTTTTATTATTGTTTTCTCTTTATCATCTTTATGATGCAAAATTTCTTGTTTCTTGTCAAAGTATTAGGCATTCATGAAATCTCAGTTTTAGAAGAGTGGCTTTGATTCTTATGGCATCAGTAGGAACTGTCATCTTTTCCATTGGTTCACTAGTTTCATCTTTTTTTATTTATTTTCCATCTTAATGCTTTTATGTATTTATGTTTCAGAGATTTCTCTTAAAACATTTAATTTTGCTTTTTTATCCTATGTGGGAATTTTACCCAAGTTATTAAATGGTTTTGTAAATGGATTAGACTCCCTAAACAGTTTTGTTACCATCACAGCTTGCTGAATAAGTCCTTGCCTCCTTGTGATTTTCTAGTTTTCTTTCCCCTGGTTTTACTTCCCTGTGTGCAGTGACCAGCTAAGAATATGAAGTGCAATATCCCTGAAATAACCAATCTGTAAATGTTTGAGAGGAGCATGATGAAGTCTTTCTCCGAGCTTGTGCTTCTCGTTCTTACCCACATTGTGTGTCATCAGCCATTCATGGCATATTTGTTTGGCCTTTATTCACTAGTGGCCACGGTGGTCATCCGGGGTTCTGGCATTGCAATGCTTTTGTTGGGATTATGTTCCTAAATAGTGGGCCCAAGGTGTAATATTAGTGATAATGGCTGTTTGAATATGTTGATGAGGAGCTGTAAAGTGCTTTGTCTAAGTGAAAAGGTATCCACTGAAGGTCTTGAGACATACAGCTCCCAATAAGTATGGAGTGACAGTCTCCTAGGTTCCTGTTAAATTCTTGACGTTCATTTTGTCATTACTGAAAACCATCACATGGATTAATTTTATAAATTTTAAAGCATCACATTCGGTAAACTCTAATCTGGAAAAATGCACTGGATAAATTAGAGTGGATTGTATTACTTTATAAAGGTTTTTGTTGAATAAATCCAACATGTATGTTTGAAAGCAAATGCATATATGTGTATACATGCATGTCATTACAGTGTTGCTTTTCAAATCTGATCACAGGTTTTACACAAAAATGGAATGGCTGAGTTTTCTGTAACAAGTAATGAAACCATCATCGTTTCTCCGGAATATGTTGGCTCTCGATTGCTGCTAAAACTGAAGAAAATGGCAGAGGAATACCTTGGAATGCCAGTTGCCAATGCTGTCATTTCTGTACCAGCAGAATTTGACCTAAAACAGAGAAATTCAACAATTCAAGCTGCCAACCTTGCCGGTAATAGCACCTTTGACTGATGTGCATTTTTCTCAGGATTTTATTAGGCCAAAAACCTTCTGCAGCAAGAATTGCCATTTTGTAAATCAACTATAGGCATATAAGCCATGACAGATGATTTAGCTGTCTGTTTATATGAATTTGCAAATAATTATGAACTCTGTAGTATAATATTAAATGTTTACTAGGGGAAAACAAGCAGACTGGGGATAGGAATGTAGCTTTCTGGTAGATTACTTCTCTACAGTGGATAAGACTGGGCCTGTGTTTAGTCCTCCAGGGCACACACATCCTCAAAAAATGTAAAAAAGAAAAAAAAATTAAGCTAATCAGGCATCTGAAAAAGACTGGAAGAGAACATGAGTACTTGTATATTCTGTTGAAAGATATGATCTCTTTGTTGCTAAGGTGAATGTGTTCCCAGACTTTCCAAGATGAAAAGAATGTAACACTGTCCACACATCCTGTATTTGTGGTCGTTGTTTCTAACTAGCTAGAAGCATAGAATAGGCATGAAATATAACATTTACTATGGGAACTTCTTATACTTATCCTTACCTCCTCAATAATAGTCTCTGTTCCCGCCACCAGTGGAAGGCAATCAGCAGTGTCCTCGTTCATTCCATTCACTTCATGGGGATAAATCCCTCTTGTTCAAAGCTACTGATGTAAACTTTAAGAGAATGTAACATGCATGGAAGAGCATAGGGGTGCCATGTAGAATGATCCGGTATGCCTCATTGGAAGAGTGACACTTGAGTCTCTGACTATAGGTCCCTGTACATGACCAGAGCAGAGTGGTAGATAGCTAAAGGGAAGGGCAGTATGACCTTTTGTGGAATTCTTCAGAGTTTGAAATGTTGATGTGGCTTCTGAAGTGTAGGGCCATACAGAACCACTTTATATGTGGAGTTAGGTCAAAGCAGAAATCTTAATCAAGGTAATGTGATCTTTGTCACAAGATGAGCTTATCACACTTGCACAACTCTGTAGTTCCAGGTATGCTATCAATATTAGAAAAGGCTGGAAGAGATTTTACTAAGCTTGGGCTCTTCTTTTTTGAATGTTGTACTCTTTAAGAATGATTTGAACTACGCCACTGAGATCTTCTGTTTGCATACCACTGGATTTTTCCCGTGGCTTTTGTCACTGCTTGGTGAAGTTGATGTTTAAGAAGAAACAAACATATTGTTATTATGAGTTGAATAGAAAGGTTTCCTCTCCTGGTCTTTCAGGACTGAAGATCTTGAGAGTGATAAACGAACCAACAGCAGCAGCTATGGCCTATGGTCTCCACAAGGTTGACGTCTTCTATGTGTTGGTCATAGACTTGGGTGGAGGAACGCTTGATGTGTCATTACTGAATAAACAAGGAGGGATGTTTCTAACCCGAGCAATGTCTGGTAAGAAAGAAACAGAATCACAGAGGTTCAAGCATGTGTCTCTTAATAAGCCTAGCATGCAGCATGTTGGTTTGGTCTTCAGAATATTTTGTGATTTTCTATATAGTGTTGCTTCAGTCTATGTACAGATCACAGTTAATTGTCAAAATAAAATGGCTAGACTTCCAATAAGTCAGATAAGGAAGTTCCTTCAGGGCTTTCTTGTGATGGTGAAGGGAACAGTAAAAAAGAAAACTTTGAGTTTCAGACAATTTCATCTATTTTATGCTTCATAAAGTAAATGTCCTAATAAATGCAATTTTAAGGTCACTGAAGAAATAAGATCTTTCACTTTAAGTCTCTTTTCAAGATTTTTGCTTTGTGCCTTTTAGGTTAAAAATATTAGGTTGTTTAGATTGAATTGTATAATTGTTCGCACATACATGTTTTTCACTCTTTTTTTATTTTATTTTATTTTTATTAGTTCAAATTAGAAGGAAGCTTGCTTCACATGTCAATCCCTTCTCCCTCTCCCTCCCCTCCACCCATACCTCCACCAACTCCCCACCTCTCCCCCCTCTGCTCCCCAGGGAGGGTAAGGCCCTCCATGGGGGTTCCCCAAAGTTTATCATATCCTGGGCAGGGCCTAGGCCCTCCCCCCTATGTCCAGGCTGAGAGAGCATCCCTCCATGTGGGATGGGCTCTCAAAGTTCCTTCTTTCACCAACCAGACTTACTTTAGAGCCAAGGTACATACTTTGAGTTTATAGTATGTTTTTTCTTTCCTATAGAACTATTTCTATTATGCTTTTAATCGTTAACAATTGGTAAAATGTATGGTTATTGGTACCTGTTAATCATAAAATTCCTTTTTTTCTGTTGAGAGTAATGACAATTGGTGTTTCAAATAGATGCACAACAAGGCAGTCTATGACTTTATTCTCCTTGTTGTCAAAAATTATTTGATGTCATTAAGATACTTCCTTTTACATCATTTAGAATTTCTAACCTTCGCTGGCACTATTTATCAATTGTACACAATAAAATAGATACAGTAAGAGTTGAGATAAAAATGTTTTTAGAATAAGTAGAACTAGATAGCCATCTCCCCTTGCCATTTAGGTTAAAATGAATGATTTTGGCATAGTTCTTTTTGGTTGATACTTACTTTAATAAAATTTTAATGTATTTACATGATTTGTTATTCTTAAAATATGTTAACATTGAGAGTGTGTGTGTGTGTGTGTGTGTGTGTGTGTGTGTGTGTGTGTGTGTGTACATATATGTATAACAAAGTTTTTAATTGTTCTTTTAGGAAACAACAAACTTGGAGGACAAGACTTCAATCAGAGGCTGCTTCAGTATTTATATAAACAGATCTATCAAACCTATGGCTTTCTCCCTTCGAGGAAAGAGGAAATCCATAGATTAAGACAAGCTGTGGAAATGGTCAAATTAAATTTGACGCTTCATCAGTCTGCCCATGTGTCAGTTTTACTCACTGTCGAGGAAAAGAACAGCCAGACACCTCAGAAAGATGACTCTAATCTGCCAAAAGACCAGCTTAGCCCAGGGGATGGTCATCATGTGAACAGGGTGTTTAGACCTGGCCCTTCTAACAGCAAGAGTGGGAAACGGCAGGTGTTATTTGAGACAGAAGTATCACGAAAGCTCTTTGATTCCATCAATGAAGATTCAGGGGTTATTTGAGACAGAAGTATCACGAAAGCTCTTTGATTCCATCAATGAAGATCTCTTTCAGAAAATACTTGTGCCCATCCAGCAAGTATTAAAAGAAGGCCACCTAGACAAGACGGAAATTGACGAGGTGGTTCTAGTTGGAGGCTCTACTCGGATTCCTCGAATCCGCCAAGTCATTCAAGAGTTCTTTGGAAAGGATCCCAACACATCTGTAGACCCTGACCTGGCAGTGGTGACAGGAGTGGCCATCCAGGCAGGGATTGATGGAGGCTCTTGGCCTCTCCAAGTCAGTGCTTTAGAAATTCCCAATAAGCACTTACAGAAAACCAATTTCAACTGACCTCTGAGGGAGTGCTGCTAACTGTGACCTTGTCTAGTGATTTTGATGCTCTCCATTGTGAAGGCTCCTCCGGAAAAGAAGTACATGAGATTGTTCACACATGAGCCTGAGGACATTTAGACAGGAATCTTTTACATAATGTTTCATTTTAGAATTGAATATGACCAGATGGGTCATGTTTGTGTTTGGAGAACTCTCATAGTATTTCTAAAGTCACAGAGTTGAGGTTCGACGCTTCTCTGGATTCTGGAAGTAGGTTACCATTTGCACTTACTATTCTGGAAGCAGTAAATAGTGCCAACAATAAGCCCCCCACTTTTTACTGAATTTTATTGGTAGGGACTGATAATTCTTTACTTGGTTATCACATGTAACTTAATTTGGTTTATACTTGAAGGACTGTTGATGTCAGGTATTTACATTGGCTGGGAGGTAGCAGTATTATTAAACTGCATAGATAGTGTTCATCAACTGCCATATAAATTGTACTTTCAAAAATTCACTTTTAATTGGTTATATTCTCTTAATTTATAGATATTACTGTCTTTAATAGACCAAATTTTCTTCCTAAAATAGCTACAGATTTATTCAGCTCTTTCCTGCCAGCTAGTAGAAATTCCTGGTTTATATTATAGTTCCTTTATATTCAATGTGTCATTCTCTGCTAGTATTTTCCCAGTTCTTCTTGGTAAGAAAGCAGTAGGAAGTTATCAACTGCCTTTTCAACATGTTAGTGTCACAATAAAGCTGCATTACTCCCTCAGATTTTGCTACCCAGGATCTTTGCATGGATCAAACATTGTAGCATTTATTTGTATTTGGTTGTGTTTTGTTTCGTTTTTTTCCCAGAGCCAAACCTAGAAGTGCAAGAATATAATACAATTACTCTGGAAACGGAGGCAATGTGCTCACACCAAGTTCAAGGCCTGGCTGGGCTACCCAGGAAGTTCTAGGCCAGTCTGGGCAACTTACTGAGACCATGTCCCTGTCTCAAGTAAAAAGTGAAAGAGGGAGAGAGAGAGAGAAGAAAGGTAGTGAGGGGAGGAGAGAAAAAGCAAGGCAGATGACCATGGGGACCAGTGAAAAATAAACTGTAGTTTGACTTTGTATCGGCCATGTTATTGGAAGATATATATCAATACAGAAGAATTGTATCCTGGCTATCTTATTAATACAAAATATAAACTGTTTATCAGTGTTGTAATAACTAAAGAAGAAAACTAAGAAAATTTCAACAAGGCCAAGCACTTTAGCTTTCTGGAGTGTAATGCTGAAAGGTGTTTTTTTGTTTGTTTGTTTTTGTTTTTGTTTTTTGTTTTTTATTTTCAGCTTTATAAAGAAAAGTATTACTCAGTAGTGAAGTTTCTGTTAAATAACAATCATTTTTTGCACCAAAAGTGTGTATTAGGTACACAGAAAAACATAAAATGCTGTGCTTTACTTTAGAGCTAATAGAGAAAATGCCAAAGACAAGCCCTTAACAGCATTCTGAAAATATTCAAGACTGTGAGTCTGGATTTTAGGTTGAAAGTATCTGTGTGAACATGTTTGAGACTCAAGTGTTCAAGTTATCCTACAGTTTCCACATGCTTTTTCCACTTTCACGTAAGCCACTGAGGGGTATAAACAGTAAACTTGAATGTCTCAGATATTTAATGGAACTCAAGACATGAGCAGGAACAATTTGCAGAATAGAGCAGATAAATAATACTAAAATGGGAAGGTAAATAATTTTTGTGAAAAAAAAATAGGATAGTATTGTTGGGGAAAGTAGTTACCATCCTCTAGTGTAGTTGCAATGTTAAAAAAAATGAAGTAATTTCTCTTCAATCATATGTTACCTAATCTTGACATTGATATAGTTTATTTAAAAGGTACAAGTGCATCCTGACTGGGACCATTTGTTGACATCTGAATTCATTTACTATAAAATGAGCCTTTTAGTTGTACAGTTGGCTACTGTTTTTTTTCTTTTTAAATATGTGACTTTAAAAATACTAAATAATAAGTAATTTATTTTGAATCCATGTTTGGTAGTGTGTTTTCACTCAAACCACTAACAACAGATACCACTGTGTATAATATGAACTCAATATGACAGTTACTGTATAGAACAGATTGTGCCTCTTAAATATGTGTGTACAGGTGATTCATATTTTGCTGTAAACACATACCATTTTGCAGTTTTGTTTTTAAATTGTTTATTTTCCACCCACGACTGGGGTGAAGTATATTTTTAATGTATATACATCCAGAAAAAGATAGAGCTGATGCGATGTGTACAGGCTTTTTAACAAGTGGTCTAATTCCAGCAGTGTCACATCTTCCTGCATCCTATATGTCTTCTTATTTTCCACATATTTCTAATTTAGAAGAGCTAGTTCTTCTATGAGCATTTTCTTTGGAACTCTGGTGAATAAGCTGTTGCTTCTAACTAGTGGAGTGGAACGCTGACTTAATCCACACAGCTAATCTGCATACCACCCCCACCCAACTGTAATCTTTCTGTTGACAGTTAATACTTCATAATTTTCTAATAAAGTTTATGTCGATCTTTTGGACAAAAATTTGTTTCTTGTCTTAATTAAGAAATTCATTTCTTTGTGTCTTAAAACCAAGCCCCTGGGACGTGAATGTATAGCTTAGTGACTTAGAACACTTGTTGCTCTTGCAGAAGACCCTCTTTCAATTCACAGCACTGCCTAGTGGCTCTCAACCTCCTATAGCTTTTGTTTCAGAGACTCAGACACCCTCCTCTGACTTCCTTCTGTAACTCTAGTCCCAAGGGATCTGACACCCTCCAAGGGCACTGTTTATATGAAGTGCTCAGCCATGCATGCAGGCAAAAATAATAAATGGCAAAAAATAACAGAGAAAGAGAAAAAGCAAAAGAGAAAGAATTAAAAGTCTTTGTATAGAGTTACCATTACTGAGGGAAAGAAGCATAGTAAGTTTACTGCTTGCTTGTGCTGAAACCTGGCCCTTTCCATGATATATTTACATAAGCTTTGGCATTTAGATGGTTTCCTTTGTTGAATAAGTTTTGCTTTTCACAAATTGGAAGTTTAGCTGTGTAGGTTCTTGTGTGAGGGTATATCACTCCCTTTATTCCATTTAGCATCAGGCCGTCCATTTAACTTCTGATCTCCTTGAGCACAGGACTTGGCTACACCACTACATTCTCTGGTGCTCTTTGTCTCCTCAAACTACATTTTCTATTTCTCTTTGTCTAGCTTCCTTTTTTCATATATAGATCTGCAGAAGAGTAATCACTAATGACCAAGTGGCACTGTCACTACAAGGCTGTATAGAATTCTCCTCTGCCAATGATTTTAATCTAAACCTCTTCAATTTAGCCTCTGGCAGAAAGCAGCCACATTCTTTGCCAAAATATCACAAGAATCAATTACTAATATTATTGCCCTCTGAGACCACTTGAACTTGTCCTCCATAGTCTACATTGCTCTTGGCACTACTGTCTTCAAAGTTCATACTTGGTCCACTAAGCCCCACTCGTGACATTCACTCACTTCCCTAATCAAAAGCTCCAAGGTCTACATTTTGCCATCAAGCAGCATGGATAGGCCTTTCACAGCACTATGCCACTCCCTGGTACCAATTTCTGTCTTCATGACTGTTGTGTTGCTGTGAAAAGACGCCATGACCAAGTCAGCTTATTTAACAAACAAACAAACAAAAAAAAATCAATCGGGGCTTTTTTACAGTTTCAGAGAGAGCATTTGTCTATGATCATTTTGGTGGGGAGTATGGTGGCAGGTAGGTCAGCTTAGTGCTGAGAGCTTATATCTGATCCACAAGATGGAGGCAGAGAGAAAAATGAAACTGGGCCTGGCATGTGTCGTGTCGTGAAAACAAAGCCTTCTCCTAGTGACACACCTTCAACAAGGTCACACCTCCTAATCCTTCCTAAGCAGTTCCACCAACTTAGAAACAAACATTCAAATACAGAAGCCAATGTATTCTTACTCAAACCACTGCTCCGGGTAATGTTTATAATGATATTTGTTTTAAGTACTAGGGACCATGGATGAGAAAAACAGATTGAAAAATCTTCCCCTTGTATAGCTTGCATGCTAATGGGGAGAGATGGAATGAACCTGGAGCCATGTAAGTAAATAGACAGACTGTTAATAATGGTAAGATTTGGAAGACCAGAAACAGGGAGAGTTAGTGAAAGGAGACTTTCCTTTTCAGTAGGTCGCTTGGCATGGTAAAGGAGTTTACAATGTGGCTTTTAGTATGTAAGCACTCTGTGGAAAGGGAACTAACTACGTGTGCCAGGGACTCAAGACAGGAGCTCTTCCTGGCAGGTCATCAGTGCAGTTCCTGAGCAATAGGCAAAGCATTTCATGGCACAGAGATTGCCAATGTCAAATGACAAGGCAGGTAAAGTGAAGGCTGAATGTGGACCACTTGTAAACTCTAGAAGTCATGATCAATAGAGGGGTAACATCATCAGGCCAGTTAGAAGAGAGAGTTCAATAATGACAGAAGGAAAACTGCAAATGGAAGTATAGCCAACTTTTCTTCAAAATCTCCTAAAAAGTGAACAGGACAACAAGGTTCTAAGTTTTGGCATAATATATATTCCATACTATTGAAAACAATCAAATGTCAGCATACATACATCTTATAAACAAAAACCTCTCTGTATATAATCTGACGTGTATTAAATACTACTGCCAGAGATTAGACAACCAATAGACTGAGCAAGCTGAATCCTGGAGAATATAAAGATGATCCGGTTGTCATGAAATTGATACACATAGGAAAGGCAAGACCAGAGAGAATCTGCAGGGATATGTAAAATCAGTGAGACTATGTGAAGGATATTTTAGCATCTCAACAGGCTGGGAAGAGCAAAGGGTAGAGATGCTTAAATGTAAGAAATGAAACAGGTGTTTAACAGAGTAAGGTCCAAGAGCAGGCAGGGAGAGCTATGTTAAAAAAAATAAACTGGAAAACTGAGGAGGTGGTAAGGGATCGGATAGGCAGGCAGGAGAGAGTAGGGGGCAAAAAGATAACAGTCCTACAGGAAAGAGAATAACACTCCCACTTTCGAAGGAAATAACTTTCCCACACAACACATGGAACAGGCTTAGGAAACAAGGTCATCCATCAGACACACCATCTATCAAAATCAAGACCTTTCTTTGGACAATAACTTGTGGTTTTCTGACTATTTTGGTTGAACAATCCCATCTGTTTGGAGTACTTTCAGTCCAGGAGGAGGAAATGAAACATGGGAAAGATCAAAAAGAAAAGGGCTCTGGGCCCTATAAAAAGGCCAGCTCAGAGACCAGTTGGTAGTCCACAGGCTCTGGAGAAACCACCCCTCTTGACAGTGCGCTCTCTGTTCTTTGCTTTCTGCATCAATCAACACCTGTTTTTCACCTTTTCTGTGTATTACTAGTTTTGTCCCTGGGTGTTCAATTTTCTGTTTTACTGAGAAGAACCAGACACCTGGTTCTCTGGCCCACATGGCAGAATCAAAGCCATTACAGACACATTAGATGGTTTATTTAGCAGTGGCTATCTCCTCCTTAGACTACTGTGCAAAAGAGAAAATCAACAGCATGAATGGCTTGAGGAAGCTACAAAACTCTTAACTCACTAGTTTTCACCTGCCCTATAGTTATTGGAACTTGGAGACAGAATTGACCTATGATCAAAAGATATAGCTAAATGAAATATTCTGATCTGTCAACAGTCTCTCTTCTCTAATTGTGGTTAATTAAAACAATCAAAACATGCTCACTCATATGTTACTGATATACTATGAAGTAGAATATATAAGCTATGTGTGTAATTAAAATTGTACTGATTCTAATAATTGTTAGATGACTGTATTAATTTTTCTCAATGTAATGTCCACACAAAGTTATAACTGTGCTTTATGCTACATCAGAACAGGGCAAGTAATAACTCATTGAAATATAATTTATTATGTGTTCTAATATAATAATTTTTAAGTGATATGTTTGTTTTAGTTATTTTGGCTTTCATGACATTGAAATACTGAATAGTGTATTGGGAAATCAGGAATGTATGTTTTATTTAAAATATACTTTTAACATGTAAATTCAAGGTGTGTGACAATACTTAAACACACAGTCATTTAGTGGTTATGTAGGAATTCCTGGATGTGATGGCACATACTTTCATAACTGTAATCCAACAGTTGGTTACAGATGCAGGAAGATCTGCGAATTCCAGTCCAATCTATACTCTAAAATGATACTACATTCTCAAAGCTTGAAACAAACTACAGAAATGCTTACTTCTTCATACATATCTTCAAGGTCACATACTCTTATAAGAATAGAAATTGCATTTGTTTCAATTTCACATGATGTCATTACCAAAAAATCACATATGCACACCTGTCTTTCTTTAAGTATATCAGGTGTGTTAATAAATTATTCCATGCAAGCAAAATATACAGATAACCTAAATATTATACTGTGTCAGCTTTCTAACTCTTGTGTTCTCTAAATTATAGTTATTAAGAGGAACAAAATAGGTTGATTTGTTCTATGTGTCCTTCCCATTCCTAGATTCTGATGATGTACACATGGAACTGAGAAAGCAACATCACATAATTAACTTAAAAATTGTCAACATTCAATAATTATGACTAAATTAAGACAAAAACCCAATAAAGTTGTTATTGTGCATAGTATATTTACCCCATATTGGTAGGGGACAAATTTTATAACCTCCTCCATCCCTTCCCTCTTATACCACTCTTCTGAGTGCTGAGGACCAAACTGAAGGCGTTGCACATGCTAAGTAAGTGCTCTACCAGGCCGAGATTTTATTTGAGACTATTTTATTTGATGGTTTCATTTGACTTCAACACTATGGATTTGAGGCTCTTTAAAGGTTTTATTTAACCCACCTATGACATTTGTTACCATATTTTATTGGAAGTGTATTTTACTAGGAACATAGAAATTTTATTATAGGTGTTTAATTATAATCTATAGAAGTTTATTATAGGTGTCTGTTACAGAATCTGCATGTACAGTTGTACCATATTCATTTTTCTAGAAGTCTAAATACCCAATTCTGAAACACTAGCCTCAAGGGTTTAGATCAATGGCTAATGGAATTAAACAATGGAGATTGGTGTCTAATTAATTGGGTTTTACATATACCATGTACCACAAAATCATTATTGCTTACATTTGGGGTATAGGACATAGACAAAGCAACTATTGCTGAATCTATGGAATTGCAAGCCAGCACAGTTAACCTTGTAGCAAAAAAGACCAGTAGGTTGCCAGAATTCAAGCCCAAAAGATAGCCACCTGCAGTAAATGGAATGAGTTCTGAGTCACAGAGCTGCATAACTTTAGGTGCACTTAGTCCAAACTTTTCTCTGAAAAGTTGAAAAATAAACACGAAGAGCTGCTTTCTGCTCCTTCCACAGTTATTTAGGACTCAATCAGATATAGAATTGTCACAATAATGCCAGCTTAAAGGATTCTTCTGCATAAAAAAGCACTTTACTTTGCAGAATTTGGCTTTAAAAGGCAATCAGAATTAAAAAGTAAAAGAAAAGAACACTTGCTAAAATGATAGATGACACTGAAAAAAAAACTACTGGAAAAAATCAATCACTGTTCCAATTATACTTACTATAAAATTAGATGCATTACATATTCATAATAAAATTATTCTCTGTAAACTAAAATGTGCCCAGCTACTGTCTATAACATTTCACACACTCCTTTTATGTGAGATTATAACCTTAAGTGAAAAGTGTTACAGTATCCAAACAAAAGTATCTTACAAGTACAAAATTTAAAATAAGAGTCATGGCACTCCTAACAATAGCCAATATATATATTGGTTTTTCGAGACAGGGTTTCTCGGTGTAGCTTTGGAGCCTATCCTAGCACTCGCTCTGGAGACCAGGCTGGCCTCGAACTCACAGAGATCTGCCTGCCTCTGCCTCCGGAGTGCTGGGATTAAAGTTGTGTGCCATCAACGCCGGCTTATGTATATTTTTAAGCTGCTGTACTACTCAGACTTTCTTTGACTTTAAAAAAAGTGATTATATCTAAGATGCTCATCTTGAGTTTTATGTGTTGATGTGACTTATCTGTTCAAAATTAGACTATGTTCTCATTCAGTACCTATTTATTTTGATGGATTAAGTTCTGATGTGAACATGCTATAATAATGGATATTCTGCATAGGTTCTCAGTAAAGTGGGAAGTAATAGGAGAAAGGAATGGTTCCCACAACAGCAGGACTGGTGGAGAACTTGCAGTACAGAGTATCTAGTCAGAAGAACAGGAAGAAGAAATTGGACAGATTATCCAGAAATTGCTTTGCTGGTTAAAAACAAAAACAAAACAAAACCCAAAAAACTGGATCACCCTTGTGTAATTAGCTAAAGAGTAAGTGATGGGGGAAACACTTCTGTGTATGTTTATAAATAAAGTACTTGCTTGGCCAATGAGACAGCAGGTTAGGCTGGACTAGGAGTCAAAGAGGATTCTGGGAAATGTAGTAGAGAAGTGGTGTTCCAGACAGGAAGTGACATAGCAAGGAGACTCATATTTAAGAAGAGGAAAAAGGAAATGTCGCTCTCTTTCCCCTCGGCTCCTGCTCCAGTGGCACGATGTGATTCACCAGCAAAGAGGGACGCCAATAAGGCATCCGATAAGATAAGTCCCATAAAATATATAGATGTATGATAATAGAGACTGAGCTAACAAATGAGAATCCTAGTCATTGGCCAAGCAGCTTTGTAACTAATACAAGTCTCTCTGTGTATTCATTTGGGCCTAACTCGGGCTGGTGGCTGGCGTTAAGCTCGCACGTGGCGATGGGGCTCAGGCGGCTTTTGGCAAAAAGATTTATCGTAACAAGTAAGACTCTCAAAAAGTCTAGCATGATTTATTACTTTGTATGATGAATGGGACCTTGTTTGGAAATAGATTTTGTAGGCATAAGATAGGTTCTCTGGATGAGTTCATTATGGATCTAGGTTTATCCCTAACACTAAGTATTTAATGGATACCAAAAAAAGATTGACACACAGGGAGAAGGCCATGTGAACACAATGACAGAAATCAAAGAGAAGTGTCTCCACGTCAAGAAGATGCCAGAGATGGATAACAGCCCATGAAAAGCTGAGAGAATACACAAAGCAGATCTCCCTCAGCGCCTCCAGCATCTACTTACCTCTCGATTTGGACTTCTGTTCTCCAGAATTGCAAGAGTATGATTCCTGTGGTACTTCATTATGAAAGGCTTGGTAAACCAAACACTCCATTATAACACCAAGAAGTCTAAACTCCAGAAAGGAGATCCAGAACATAATGTAATTTGACAAAATTTCAACTTCGTAGTTCTCTCAGATGAAATTATTGAATATCTCCTATGGAAATTATTCTGTGGCATGTGTTGAAAACATGATCAGGAAGTCTACACATCAAATGAAAGATGCTATGAGAAGTACATACAATATTTTCACTTATACATAACTATATATAGAAATATTAATTATATAGTTAATTATATAAATATTCATTTTCCTTTATGAAATATGTATGTCCAACGTGGATGGCAATCAGGCTACTCTCCTTTTGTTCTCAGGCTGAGGACATTTGGGACTATTTAGGACTACGGAGCAAGCTTTTTTTTTTCACTGAGGATAGAAATGAAACCCAGAATGGAACATGAAAAGGCCAGCATAGGGGATCAGGAAGGTGACTAGAACTCAGGGCTCCTGAAGAGATATTCGGTGCTCATTTGGCTCATTACTGCCAATGGGGTTGCATGTTTAATCCTTTTTCCACTCCTGGTGGAAAATGTCACCATGATATTACCAAAGAAAATTTTACTTGCAACATATTTTTAAATCATAAAATATTATCCCTTAATATCATTCTTTTATATCTAAGTGGATTTTAAAAATATGAGACATAATATATATCAATAAAATTCTAAAACACAGATTCTAAAACAATGGTTTGTGGTCTTGTAAAATATTGTTTATTAGCAATGCAATATGCCCATAATAAATAGATCGAGTAAGGAGTTAGATCTTTGAGCAATGTTTTGATAAAGAATAAATCACATAAAAATGGAATACAGTCCAGTGTGTGAAGAGTTAAGTAGATTTAGAGAGGAAAATACCCAAGGTTGGAGGAATAATAATAGCATTGTCACAGTAAGGAGATGATTGCCATTCTGTCTTCAGTAGACTAAATTGCGATATAAATTTAAAGACTTAAGATTTTGGAAAATATTCATTTCCAAAAACTGCACCCTTTTGAGAAGTGAGCCTCAGAATACTTTTATATTTAATTCAAAATTCACACTGAGAAATCTTGTTTTCTACTGTAGTTTTGTCATGGTATTATTTGGGAAATCAAATGGACTGGTGACATTTTAATATGAGGACAGAGCATTAAGTATCATGAAAGACATACTTACCACTTCCAGCAAATCTGTAGAGATGACTTAATAATATAAATTCTGCCTCTGTTTTGTGTTGGATAAGCAGGCAAGTGAAACTTCTACTAATACATACCCACCATACACGCTTGTAGTGCAGGAAGCATACGTGATTGACAATGCCAGGGACTGACACTCTGGACCTTCTGAAGCATGTGCATGCAGACCTCTTATTCTGTGAGTTTTTTTTAAAGACAATGAGCAAGCAAGGTGGGTGGGGCACAAGCAGACTGTATCTAGGGAAAAATGAGACCTTCCAATCAATGACTTTGGTTTGCTTTGAACATTTCCTTTGTTTATTAGCTTACTATATTTGCGGGACTCCTGAGTGTGCCAGTGAGTGGAACTCTGACTCTTCGGCCTGCTCTTGGGAATCTTATCCTCCTGCTGGGTTGCTGTGTCCAACTTTGATATGAAACTTTTTACTCCATCTTTTTGTATTTCATTTTGTCATGTTTTGTTCTTATCTCTTAGAAGCCTGTTCTTTTCTAGTGAGAGGCAGAAAGGGGACAGAAAGATCCAGACTGAGGGGAAATGGGAAGGAACTTGGTGGTGTAGAGGGAGAGGAAACTATAATCAGAATATATTGTATAAGAAAATAATCTATTTTTCAATAATAAAAAAGAGGTGCTTTGTTCATAGTCTGCATTTATTTCAGCACCATATTCATTTATTTTATGGACACAATATTTTGAAACTTTGAAGATAATAACTAGAACATTTAAATTTCTCTTCTAATTCCACATATTATTGTGTCACTTCTAGGCTCATACACTTCACTTACTAACTTCTATCTTGAATTATCTTGATTGAAATACATGATAGTCCATCATTGTCAGCTGAAACATACGAGGGAAAACAGTTGATTAATGTGGGCAATTCATGTGACTTTCTTGTGCTATTGCACACATTGATTCTCCCAATGTTTCTCTTTATTTAATGGAAGATCTTTCACCAAGCCACATTTAACTTACAAGATAGGACACTGGAAGTCTTGCTTGAGTCACAGATGTAGACTGTCACTTTTTAGAATGTCTTCTACATTTGTCAGATATTTTAGAGACCCAGATGTTTTTCTTTAAACACCTTTATTTTAGTTTTCAGTGGGCAGCCACTAACTGTGGGCACTGTGGGGAAAGAGGAAAGTTTCACAAACATTGCAATGCTCTAGTGAATCCCTTTGATGACCCCCCATGTACTTCATTTCTGCTCCTGAGACCATGAGCTTCAAACTTTTCCATTGCTTGACTAAGCATCTCCCTCTGCAACAGCTTCTCCATATTTATTCCTGGCTATGGATTTTCTAACCTTGATTCTCTAACCATATAATGGCTTACATAGACATTTATCACTCTGAAATGCCCTGGAGCGTTCCCTTTTGTATTTATTCACTGTCATCGCACTAGACTTTGTGGGGTAAGTAAAGTAAATGATCCACTCAGTCATTTTAAACTGGAAGCAAAGTACCCTCCTTAAACACTGAGCTTGGAAAACGCAGTATCAATATTTTACTCGTTGTCCTAGAAAAGGGAAGCTCCTAATGGTGAGGCATAAAGCTCAATCGATTAGGATGTGTTGATAGTCCCCGAGAATCAAAAGCAAATAGGTGAGACCCAGTGGAAAAAATGTTCAGGGCTATTTCTTTTTCAGAAAATGAGGTGAGATCTTTATTGTTGTTATAAAATATAAATGTAAAGTTTTCTGCTTCGGTGGTCCAATTTTGTCGAACGTTAGACTTCTGTGATATTCATGGCAGACCATGACTATTAATAACTAAAAGTGGCACTTGGGCTTTAAAGATTTAGAGAGAGAGAGAGAGAGAGAGAGAGAGAGAGAGAGAGAGAGAGAGAGAGAGAGAGAGAGAGAGTACCTCTTTGAGTTTATATGCATCTCATGCATGCAGGCGCCTGAAGAGACCAGAAGAAAGAATAGGATCCTGGAACTGGAATTATAGGCAGCTGTGAGCCTCTTGATGTGGGTCCTGGAAATTGAACCACATCCTTTGCAAGACGAACAAGTTCTTAAGTCCTGAACTACCTCTCCAGCACTTTTTATGTTTAAATTTCTTTTAATTGAGCTAACAGGACATCAAGGAGCCTTTCATTGGATAAGATCAAGTTGTGCTTTGTTGAAAAAAAAAGTCAGAAATCCAATGTTTTCATTTTATGAACACTGTCCTTTGACTGAAATGTAATTTTCATTTGGAGCTAATAAAACAATCATTATAAAATGTAAAATAGGTAAAATGTAAAAGTTAAAAATGAACAAATAGAAAATGTGTATTTTCCAATGACTGCAAAGCACACTAAACATAAAGCTAGCCAATTGGGACAAGTCTCTATATTCCATTATGCAAGATCAGAATCTATTGCCTTGGTCACAAATGCTTCCTTGAAACTTACTATACTTGAAACTTACTATACTTGAAACTTACTATACTTGAAACTTACTATACTTACTACTGCTTCATTGAAACTAAGAGTTTATGTTTTGAGCACTGAGCTTTCATCTCTTCTGTCAAGTAAGGAATGTAAAGAGTATGCCCAAAATGTTCTTCAAAGGAGCGTGAATTTGCATGGCATTCTAAAGTGATTTATGGATTTATGAAGTTGTAGGAGACAGACAGATTTAATTACACAAAGAGAATCCCTGTGCCCATAGACATTGTACACTTTGTCTGTTTTTCCACATGGGCTAAAAACCTTGTGGCCAATAAATTTGACTCACTGGTTTAAAATCAAACACATTCTATACATCTTTCCCATTGTAGATAATCCTCATATCATATGCTAATCACCAACAATTAATAACAGCAGAATGACATACCTGTCCCACAGTATCTGCTTATCTTCATATTATATCATTTACCAGTGTTTCCACAGTCACATATTAAAAAAAAAATGAGCACAATGAAGTAAGAATCCTAATGAGTTTTGTGTTATTTGATTTTTAAGTTTTAGTCACTAAACGTAGGTAAAGGAGCAAAGAACACTCCACTCAGTCATACTATTTTAAGTTAAGGTCACTTGCAAACAGAAGGTAGATGAAGGACATTCAGACTGTCCTGTGTTTTCACAGCAGATGAATTCCCGCATGATAGATGCTCTTCCCCTGATGGAAGCACAGTTTGATTCTTATGTTCAACGTCAGGTAGTCAAGTCCTGTCACAACTCACTAGCCCTTCTCCAATAGTGTATAAACAACTTGACAGAATCATCTCTTGAGATCTTCATAACTGTATGCAGGCTCCTATTCCACTACAACTTATATTCAATAAAGTGTGTGTGTGTGTGTGTGTGTGTGTGTGTGTGTGTGTGTGTGTGTGTGTGTGTGAATCTCTCTTATAGTTCCTTAACACTCAAGGACTAGATGAAAAGAAACGATAGCAGGGTGCCCTGGAGAGGTGTCTCACAGTTAAGACCATTGGGTGCTCTTCTAGAGGGTTGGTTTCCAGAACACACAGGGCAGCTGTCAACCATCTGAAACTTCAGTTCTAGGGCAAACAATAATCTCTTTTGACCTCTATTGGCCCTAGGCACACATATAAACTACACAGACATACACTAAGGCAAAATACTCATACACATAAAATAAAAATAAATGAAACATTAACAAATCAAATAGAAATTCTAAGAGTAAAGAGGAAAAATTCTGCTTTACTCTGCTGGATATTGATCTATTTCCTCTGACTGCTTTTAGGTATTACAACACATAGAGATGGTTGTTATTTTATTGGTTTTCTGTTATTTTACCTTCTTACATTCTTGTTCTCACAGCAATGCATGATTGTATCTATCTTTTTCTTTAGTACTATTATACTTTTGAGAGTCCTTTTTGAAGGGCTTTACACAGCCACACGAGCACATCCTGCATACTTTTTCTCTAATCTTTAACTCTCAAACATTTGCATAATTTCCCACAACTCATTTTCTTTCCCCATCCTCACTTGATTATGTTTCCTGGCCTATAGTTGTGGGGCATCCCTCAATTTTCAATGTCCTTCATATATTGCCATATTTCAGAATGGTATTCAACATCAAGAACTTCTTAACCCTAAATTTTCATTTTTAATTCTCATTTGGGTAGTCTTCTAAATAATATTTTTTTCTTATTTTGATGACAGTGTGTCATGGCCTTGAGCTTCCCAATGTATATTTCATGGCATCAAATTCTTGATGAATTTATGGGAAACACACACATACATATGCATCTATGTCTCCATGAATAAATGGGTTTGAAAAGCATTTTGCTAAGCAGAACTAAACAGCTTTGTTTATTGTAAAATACCTAAAGCCTTTAACTAAGATAATACAAATATCAGACTCATGGAAAAACACATGTATCAACTAATCACTGAACTGAACTGGAATCCAGTTGCAGAGAAGGACGAGTGATGAGCAAGCGGGTCCAGACCAGGCTGGGGAAACCCAAAGAAACAGCTGACCTGAACAAGGGGGAGCTCTTGGTCCCCAGACTGATAGCTGGGAAACCAGCAAGGGACTGATCCAAACCCCAGGAAAGTGGGTTTCAGTGAGGAGACCTCTGAAATCTATGGGGCCTCCTGTAGTAGATCAGTACTCATCCCTAGCATAGGAATGGACTTTGGGAGCCCATTCCACATAGAGGAATATTCCTTGAGCCTAGGTCCTATGCCAAAGGATATGATAGACTCTGATGACACCCTATAGAAGGCCTCACCCTCCCTGGGAAGCAGAAAGGATATGTGATAGGTAGGGTTTTAGTTGGGGGGGTAGTTAGGAGGGGAGGGAGAGGGAACTGGAATTGACATGTAAAACAATCTAGTTTCTAATTCAAATAAAAAAGAAAAAACACATTTTGTTTCTTAAACTTGTTAAACCACAGAGCCCTATGTTTGTGGAGAAGACATTGTTTCCTCTATAAACCCTTTTGTAAATTTTACCTAGTGGTTAAAGACATAGCTTGGAATTCAAGCAAACAGGATTTCAAATCTTAACTCCAAAGTGTCTTTGGCCATTTTATTTGCTTTATTGTTGCTGATAAATTATAACTACATTCATTACACTCCCATTTTCTACTCAGCACTTTTTTTCATACTCTATTTCAAACCCTGGAACAATGTTGGTGTCGGCAATACCTACCTACATTCTGTAAGTGATGGCACTGAAGGTTTAAGTATAATGCCAAAGCTTATGGAGTGTCTAGTCAGCATCAAGGTCTGGAGAACTAGTTTGTTAGTTTGACTCACATGAAACTGGCATTTTTTTTTTTAATTCAGGTGTGTTTATGTGACTGTGTGTCCACGTGTGTAAGCAGGTGGAAGATGTTGGGTTGTCTCCTTAATAATTTTCCATCATATTCCTTTCTGATAGGATTAAACCTGGATGCCCCTATTTTCAAGTAGGCTGTTTGTCCCGCATGTCCCAACAATCAGCCTGTTTCTGCTACCACCCGCAGCACTGCTACTGTAAGCATACATGAACATCCTGAGCTTCTTATGGGGATGGTGGCAATCCAAACTCAGGTCTCCACGCTTGCATAGTAAATGGTTTCTAGAATGAGCCACTTCCCCAGTCCCCAAACTCCCACTTTGGTGAACCAGAGAAGGTCATACACAGGAAATTTACCCGGGCTCTGCCTCTATAGTTGGAATTCCATGCTTTTCTAGGACAG